TTGCAGAGCAGGATTACCCATGTGGAAGAAAACATTGTCCTCACTCTGCATTTGTAAGCAACAAGTAGCCAGAGGCAGTTTTATTACGAGCTGCAGCAAGGGAAAAACTGGTTCGGACGGAGGGGGGAGCACCTCCCCTTCCAAGGCAGATCTTCAAATACAAGCAATTATGAAGCAGTTTATATACTGTCTATTAGATATAACAACAATAACAATTAGTCTCCTTCCCATTACAAACACCAATGGCTAACAGTTATTTAGTTCCTCCCAGATGCTCCTTATCTCAAGGTCCCTGCCCCTGCCAGAGTCAGCCTTATCTCCGTATAGAGGCGAGAGGCAAAGGCAGCGTCTAATTACAGATCTCGCGTTGTCAGGCCACAGACTTAGCCTGACTCTTGCTCTCTTGTTAACAAGACCAAGATGGCTGCACACAAATTCCCTTATTCCCTTTTCTTGCCTCCACTCTCTCTTCATATGGGACCCCTTCCAAGCCCCTAATCATTTTGTTGCCCTTCTCTGAACCTTTCCAATGCCAATATATCTTTTTTTGAGATGAGGCAACCACATCTGTAGGCAGTAGTCAAGATGTGGGCATACCATGGTTTTATATAGAGGCAAGATAGTCTCTGTGGGTATGTCTACACTACCCCGCTAGTTCGAACTAGCGGGGTAGTGTAGACATACCCCAAGAGCTGCACACTGAATGGATGTTTTCAGAGAACTATCCACAATGACTCCAAGATCTCTCTCTCAAATAGTTATAACTAAATTAGTCCCCATCTTATTGTATGTATAGTCGAGATTACTTTTTCCAATGTGAATTACTTTACATTTATCAACATTGAATTTAATTTTCCATTTTGTTGCCCAATCATTTAGCTTGGTGAGCTCTTTTTGAAGCTCTTCACAGTCTGCTTTGGTCTTAATTACCTTGAGCAGGTTAATATCATCTGCAAATGTTGCCACCTCAGGCTACAATTACACTGCAACGCTATTTCGGGATACTAGAGCATCCCAAAACAGCTATCCCATGTCTGAACAGCAAACCCATTATTTCGGGCTCATTATTCCGACATCCCTGTAAACCTCATTCCACGAGGCGTAAGGTACGTTTTGGAATAATGTGTTATTTTAAAAATTTGGCACTGTGTAGACAGTCTCCAACCATTTCACTCCTCATGTCCATAAGCATTTCTGGGTTCACCAGGCTTATTGGTTACTGATGCCCTGCCTGGCTTGCTATTTAGATGGTGTAGCTATCAAGAGCTGGCTTTCCTCTAACATGATCAATGTGTGGGGCTAGGAAGAAATATTTTTTCTCTTTCCAAGAAAGGCAGTATGGCTGTTTCGTTTTGTTTTGGGGTTGGTTTTTTTTTGGTTTTGGTTTTTTACTTTCTTCAGCATCAGGCTGGAACCATAGTAGGTGAAGATAGTATTCATTCCTCAAAAATGGACATGAAGAAGATAATAAATGTCAATAAATACTGGTGCATTTTGCATCTGGCTTCCAGCATGGGTAAGAGGCTTCATGGGGCCAGTTGCTGTGGCTGACCTGAGTGTGGGATTCAGGAAGGAATGGTAAATCCTGTTTGGTCTCTGTGGCATGAAAGTCTTAAGTCTTTGCAGACAGAGTTTTTCCTTATTTGCAAGCTCATTCCTGTTCATCAAGGAATGCTGGTGGGATTCAGTAATGAGTAGAATCCTGGTTTGAATAGTGGGGATATTATCTAAGGAAGCCAACTTTCATTCCTTGATTGCATAACATGAGGCGATTTTTGCCATCTCTGTACCCAATTAGTGTCTAGTAGTTTGCAAGAGGGTAAGTCAACTCACCTTCCCACGCACCTCACCAATATAAAAAATAGTAAATAGCAGCCTTTAGCAGTAAATTTATTTACCTGTCTTCAGCTTTTGCAATAGTCGTCATGAAAGCAGTAGAGACAAATTCTAACAGTGTTTTGTTAATCTGGTTTGCGAAGAAATAGCTGACACTATTGGTCTTTAACAGCTTTGGAGGAGTTGGAGAGTCATGCTCTCAGAAGGGCAGCTCTGTTGTTTTCACCACCATCCTCCAATGGGGACACTTGTAATTAAAAGCCAGGTTTCTGTAGCAGCTTTACCAGCAAAGGTTGCCAAGAGATGCACAGAATTGTCTGTTTAAGGTACTCAAAAATCCCCCTGCTTTTGTCTTCAGGGATGCTCACAGATGACTGTGCGCTCTGGCTATAGGCCATTTGTGGCAATTAATCTTTGTAGTCTAGACATCCCACCCCAAGAGGACTCTTAGGCTATGTCTAGACTACAAAGATAAATTGGAAAAATCTTTTTCTGATATACTTTCTAAAGAGGCTTTTCTGAAATTTGGCCCATATACACTGGGCCAAATTTTGGGAAAAAACCCTCTTTTGGAACATCGCTTCTTCCTCATAAAATGAGGTTTACAGAGATACCAACAAAATGCATCCAATTTTCTGACTTTTTTTTTTTTTTCAGAAAAGTGGACACGTTCTTTGAATGTGTGAGAGCTTCTCCACGATACCTCCAGTATCCTGGAAAAGCTCTGCAGTCTAGACATACCCTTCGCCTCTGGGAACCACAGCAAAATCTTGCATAACTTCTGAGTGAACTATATCGCTAGATATGGAGGCTTTCTTTAATCATAGCAATTTTAAAAGATCAAACATTGATTTAAACTCTTGACATTGTTTTAAAATAACATTCCTTGTATAATTATGTTATTGTTATTCTCTGATTATAGGTATAAAACATATAATTATGGGTGCACTTTGTACTAGTGCTTATAATTATATACTTTGTAAATCAGAAGCATAACTTCGTAACTGTGGCATATTATTTTTCAATAAATTCTAAAGTAAATGAAAATGTGAAAGCTACTCTTGAAAACTGAGTAGGTTGAAGTTATGAACCATATCCTAAGTCTGATTTTCAAAGTATGCTTTCATAACAATTGGCAGCATAAAAAAGTAATGTTCTGTGAAAGAACCATGGCAGAATGCTTTCTGAAAAAAAAAAAATTAGGGAAGGCTATAATTATTAACAACTCGAATCAAAAGCATTTTGACAAATAAATCAGACCAAAACATCTTTACAGAGCTCTTAAAATAGTAGTTATCAAAAATCTGCAAAAACCCAACGTGCATATTAATCAATTATTTAACATAGAGGGGGCTAATGAAAATAATGAAATGCCAGTGTGACTACCACTGAATTCAACAAGAGACTATTAAACAATAAGCAGAAGTGGGGGTTGTATTTTGCTACAGGAGGTCATATTTGTGAAAAACAGTCATCTGATGTATGGAGAAAGACAACAAATGTATTATTAGACTAGTATGTCACTTAATCTATAGCTGGTATTTTGTACTTTTAGTAAGCTGAAAGCATCAGTATTATTGCTTAGCCTCTCCATTTAAATCACAAGTCAAAAATTTAAATGTGTAGTAAAAAAGAATGAAAATTTTAGATTTCCTAAAATCTGCTAATTAATTATATAGAATTTAAAAAAATAAATTAAGTGTTAAAACAACACGTGTTGAAATGAAGGGCTAAATTCTGATATGAAACACACTGGTGTAATCCAGAGTATTCCATTTTAATTAGCAGAGTTATGGTGGATATACCTGTCTGTTTGAGAGCATATTTGGTTGTAATATACACTATTATTTCTAATGTAATGAGAATGAGGTTAACTTATTTCATCTTCATAGTTTGACTGTTATAGTTAGACAGGGTGCCTGGTTCACTAGGCTTGAAATGTTGTATTTCATGTGAGGACACTATTCCAATTTCAAATGGACACTCACAATACGTCTGTTGCGTGGGGGAAGCCCATGTTCCCCACAAATGTGTCCATTGCAACAAGCTCAAAGCAAGAGCTTGTAGGGACAGGGACTATCACCTCAGACTTACTTTACTGGAAAAGTCCCTTCCTCCTACCTCCATCTGAGAGACTCCACTAGGGCTGTAATTACCTCTATAACATTTCTATGTAAGGTCCCATTTGTGGACATTTTTAGAGCTGCCAAATGAGCCTCTAAGCATGCTTTTGCAAAGTATTATGTACTCACACAAGGTCCACTCTTCAATGTCAGCAAGGCCAAGGGTGCTTCATCTATAGCTTTTCTACGAAATCCAAAGTCCCATTTGACTCATCTTGTTTTGGGTACCATCATAAATTATTCAGTGTTAGTAGTGCCCATCATGAGCTCTGTGCATTCTAAATGTTTGAGAAAGGTTCCTGCAATGAGAGAGCTTTGCCCAAATGCTACATCTAGACTGCAGCTTTTTATCTGAAAGGAAGAGGTTTTTCCAAAATTTGGCCCGTCTACACTGGGTCAAATTTTGGAAAACCCTCCTCCTTCGGTTGTGATATGAGGAAGACAGGACTTGTGGAAGAGCAGATGTGTTCCCTGGACGCAGTGGAGTTTTTCCAGGATACCACTGGTATCCTGGAAAAACTCCGCAGTCTAGACATAGCCAAAGAGTTCACAGTTGAAAGACAGACAAGAAAATAAGGGTTAAAGAAGGGAGACAGCAAAATGTGTTTGAAATTTTAGTTTTTTACCATGTAAAGCATTATCATGGGATTTAAAAATGAAGAGGGAGGAGCCTTGCAGAAACCTTGCAAGTGACCTTGAGAGCTCACTTGGGGGCTCCACTAGCTTTCCCTGCAATGATAGGATGTTGGTCTGGCTTTATGATGTAAGACAAGCATTAGTGGACTTTATTGGTGGGAAGGATTGGCAGGGGAACTGGATAATCCCTGATTGATTACTACTGTAGTTGGAACAAGAAATGGCTTATGGTTGGGAGATTGGCTACAGATACCTCTTGCTGCACTTTATGTTAATTTATTGTAAAATTAAATTTGACCTATGTGCCATTCAATTCAGTTAATGTAGAAACATCTTCCTTATGTCAACTTTGACAAACTTTTTTGACAGCAAAAGTCCTATAATTCATTCATTTTGTGTTTCTAGGATATCACTGGCATTGAAATTCCTATCACTAATCCTACACACGAAACTCTACAGTTAGATGTCGTGTTAATGGGTGCTGCACTTAGTGGTGAAACAACTCTTGTTCTTCAGCCAGAAGAAACTCTTTCCTATGAAGTTCATTATTCCCCAGCTAGTACTGGCACTTCAGAAGGCAGGTAAGATAGAGCGTGTTCACACTTATATGTGCTTGATATTATTTTGTAAAAATTCTGTCACTAGCCTCCACTTCTTAACCCTAGAATAACTAGGAGTCCTATAGTAATAGAGATGTAGCCATGTTAGTCTGATCTTGCTGAAACAGAAGAGAGGACTATGCAACACTTTAAAGACTAACAAGATGGTTTATTAGGTGATGAGCTTTCGTCTGTATGGATTTATGCAAGTTTTTCATATGAGGAAGTGGGTCTGGCCCACGAAAGCTCATCACCTAATAAACCATCTTGTTAGTCTTTAAAGTGCTGCATAGTCCTGTCTTTTGTTTCAAGGAGTCCTATGGCATCTTAAAGACTAACAAATTTGTTTGGACATAATCTTTCATGGGCTGGAGCTCACTTTGTCAGATGCATCAAGTGGAAACTTCAGTTTTGCAGGAATGTATACATAATCTTTGCATGTGTATTTATACCTGTCAGACCAAAGTTTCCATTTAATGCATCTGATGAAGTAAATTCCAGCCCAGGAGTGCTTATGCCCAGATAAATGAGTTAGTTTTTATGGTTCCACAGGGATCCTTGTTGTTTTTGCTGAAACATGGCTACCTCTCTGAAATCTGACTCTAGAATGTTACTTAGAAATGTTTTGTGTTCTCTGTATTACTTTTTTAACATTAGATATTTTCCACACTTTCTTTGACTAAATCTGATATCTGATAGACAGAAGGCAATTATGGATGTAAAGGGTTAACTGTGGTCTGGGCAGGATGGAGCAGCGCCTGCCCACAGTGTTGTGCAGGATAAAGCAGCCCCCACCCGTGGCATGGTGCAACAGGTCCCTCCTGGCCTGGCTGTAGCAGCCCTCACCCACAGCAGGGTGCAGTGGGCCCTGCCTGGCCCAAACAGCCCCTGCCTGTAGTGTGGCAAGCTCAACCTGGCCGGGCCCAGCGCACTGCACTGCAGGTGAGGGACTGCTCCAGCAGTTAACTTTTAAAACAGGATTTTACACCCCTAATGGCAATTCTTTGGTGGATATCAATTGAGTTATGTGTAGATTTTCTTATGATATTACTTTAATATCAGAAAATCTATCTCAAAACATGGACTGCAAGTGAATTGTTAATTTTGTCACTTAAAGGAAGTGACCTGGAGCCATCTTTCTGTAGAAAGGGAACTATACTAAAAAGAGGTGAAGAACCCTTTAGCAGTTTTTATGAAAATCTATTAGGTTAAGAATTCACCATTAGTTAAAAATGATCTTCTTAATGACTATGGAGAAGATTTAAATTATAGATGTTTCACCACATTGGAAACTCAGAGGAGTCTGTACAGTATGATAATTACCAGTGATAAGACTGATGACTAGAGCCCTGCAAATCCTTGTATATCCGCTTTATTTCTATGGGTATCTTTATCCACAGATGTGGATGCAGATATCCATGGCTCATTTTTACAGCTACAATCACAGCTGTGGATACACAATTTCGTATCTGTGCAGGGCTCTATTGATGACCATTTGGTCTTGGTTTCACAGTTGCTGCCACTAATCATATTTCTCAGCTGAACTCCTAAAGGCAGGCTGTTGAACACTACAGACCTATACGATATTTTTTTCTTAGGGTATTGTAATTAAGCATGAGTTGGCTGAAGTTCTCATTGAAAGCTAGGACTTTCATTTCCAAACAATAGCCATTGATTATGCTGACACAGCTATAGTAATGGTTGCAGGTAGGGCCCTATCTCTATTCAGTGAACCTTGAGCTTTTATCACCAAAATAAGCAGTCTCCAAAACAGTTCAAATTGCTTTTATTGATTTTCCCAAGAATAGAATACTCCCAAATATTGTTGTGCTACTGCTTTCAGAGGCTATAATTTTATAGAAATGACCACTGTTGACATTTTAGTAAAATTACCAGGAACAAGGATACAAAGCTGAGAATGAAAATATATTTCATTTGCTGTGTCAGAATATTTTTCCAGATAACAAGATATGTGCTTTCAATATATATTTCATTTTGCTGTGTCAGAATATTTTTCCAGATAACAAGATATGTGCTTTTAAATGGATAGAACTATGGAGCAGTTTTTGGCTTCAGTTAATCTGCTGCATAAAGGCCAAGGTGGCATGTGCAAAGGTTGTATAACTATTGCACTGCCTGATTCTGTCGTAGCTCTGTTGCAAAGCTGGCCTTCTTGTGTCATAGTAGAGCAACCTGAGGTCTGCCCTACATTTAATCGCTGACAAATATCTCTGGGGATTTGAATTTGTTGTCAGGAATTGGCATGGCCAGGTACATCCAGGCTAGTACCTCTTTCTGTGCAACGGGGAGGAAAGGGCTGAAAAATCCATTATGGTGACTGTGCTATTACCTTTACACTTGGGTGATCTTTTAAAGCCAGTTTATGCCAGGGAAGTGGCACCAGTAAGCGGTCTGGTTCATAGCTCCTATAAAGGCATAAAGCAGAACTCGTATCTCAAGTAAATGGTCTGGTTCATAGCTCTTATAAAGGCATAAAGCAGAACTCGTATCTCTTTTTAAATCAGAAGATGATCCTTCATGCAGCTCAGGTTTACATATTGTATTTTTAAATATTTTGGAATGGTTTAACATGTTTACTGTAATTTTATTTAACTTTATTGTGATTCTTCTGGTCACAAAATGAGAAATAGGAAAATCTATAGTTAGAATGAATGTGTTAAAATGCCTTCCGCAAAAATATACTACAATAAGTATCTCAAATATCAATAAATTACTTTCAGTCCTGAAAAGACTTGATGGTAGAATAATGAATATGCCATTAAAACATATCCATTTATCATGTTCTTATATATACATGTCAATTTTGATCTGTTAGTTTTAAAAAGTATTTTCCTTTTTAAAATGGAGTAATCTAAAATGATTATTTTTAAATTATGTAGCAGGCCCCCAAAGATCTAGTTACAAACTGCCATGATATTTGAATTACATTATTTTTTCCCTATAAGTTAAAGTAGGAGATGTATTCTAGTTTTTTCTGCTTTTATTGCAAAAAGCTGCAATTTTTCAACTGAAGAGTTAAAAGAAGATTAATCCTGTTGCTTGCCCATGGGTTTCTATAAAGATCACTTCATTTGTGATGGGTGTACGCAGTTACTACAGCTTGAACCTCTGTGGTCCGACACTCTCAGGATCCGAATGGTGCTGAACCAGAGAATTTGCTGTACCATGGGAGGTCAATATTGTTTAGCAACATTACCAACACTTCCATTGCTTATTGGGTTTTTAGAAGACATTTAAGAGTAAATTAAAGCTAAATAACAGCATAGAACACTGAGAGCCAAGACTGGTGGCTGTAAGCAATCTTTATGGGACCCCACAAAATATGGCCACACCTATGATAAGTGGACATCCATCTAACTAAAATCATGCCAGACTATATATGTTGCTGGACCAGAGATTGCTGGACTAGAAAGGTTCAACCAGTACTATATCTATGGAGGTATTTAGGTCTCTTAGTGGAAAATTCTACTAGCTAACAAAGGAGTCATTTCATTGAACTCATTTTTTCTTGAAATTCTATTTTCTGCTTTTATCAATTTGAGTATTATACAAAATGACATCTCAGAGCTCGTTTATATCTCTCTCTTCAGTGTCATATTCCTGTCGGAGATGGTTGGAGAGTTTTGGTATTCCCTGAAGCTGACTTCAGAGAAACCATTGCCAACTACATTGCCTGAAATAGAATGTGAGCTTGGAAAGTAAGTATAGCATTATCCTTTAATTTGTTCCTTGAAATCAATATATAATATAAAACATACAAACAAGTATGCATTATGGAACTTTGGCAAATTACATTTCGATCCAGTAATACACATGTACTCTTGTCTTATTATTTATGTTACCATAGCACCTAGCTGCCTTAGTAATAAGAGCCCAGCTTGTAATGTACTCTTGTCTTATTATTTATATTACCATAGCACCTAGCTGCCTTAGTAATAAGAGCCCAGCTTGTATAATCCGAATTTTCACAGATTGTGTCATTAATATAATACATATTGAATTCTATTTGTAGAATGGTAATTTAATTGGAATTAAAATAATAAAGGTCCATATATTTTTTTCTCTTAATCAGCTGAAGAATTTAGTAGCAATTTATCGATACAGTGACCTTTTTTAACTTAAATTTAATTTAGTAGGTTTGAATTAAGCTACCATGTATTCAGCTCCTGTTGCTACGGTTTGAAGCTCAACAGAATGAAAATCATGTCTGCTGCTTTTTGCAGTTTAGCAGACTCCAGGAACGCTAAAAGATCAAAAATAGTGACTGCAGACACAACCACAAGTACAAAGTTTTATTTGTACTACAAGGTTTATTGAAGCGACAAATAAAGTTAAAAATCGCCTTGCATATATATGAATCCTTCAAAAACCCATGCAATTCCTTCTTATACTCATATCCCCAAAGATGTTCTAGGGTCGATGTGGTCTTCCCACTTTTACCCAATCAAGGAACTTCTTTTACTTTGTTGTTTTGCCCATGCCTCATATCTTATACAAATATTCCCCAGTTTTTCTTAGGTTGATTCTCATTTCCTTTTATCTTGATTAGCATCTATTCACTACATGCATCCATGGAAACCTGCAGTCAAAGCAAGACATTCCATGATGTTACAGTTAGGTATCCTGTGGTCTTGGACAGTACATTGCAGTATGTTGCAGTCTTTTTCTGTAACATCACCTATTGGCCCATCTTTTACAGTAAACTTGGAACCTTATGGTCAGAGAGTTATTACTAGGTCACCCACACGTGTGAAGCTTTCTTAAGCTTATGGCCTAGTATGGCTAAGCTAAAATCTTCAAAGCCTCAGTCTGTAGGCTTGGCATTGCTGTGTTTTACTTATATACCTAATGCACAGACATCACTCCTAAATACTTGTCAACCTTATATTACTATAATCCTACAATTTAAATCTATTTACCCTATATTGGTGATATATAAAATAGCATGTGAGTTGACCATAACATCGAATAACTCAATGATAAAATCGATAAGAAAATGAACTAATTGGCTATAATATTATAGAATTAAACAAGTTGTCTTAAATACTCTATTAAAACGTAGCATTATCTGTTAAATTTTATTGAATTTTTCTTCCCTAAACATAGACCTTCTCTAGTGGCCCACTTTATAAATGGTGAATACTGCTTCCTGCCTTCTCATCTCCAAAGGTGTGAAATAGTAGAACTTCTTTTCTGCAGAGCTTAAAAGTGTATATGACAGAACTCTGATACTGTTTAGGTGGTGCATCTCCATAGAATGTATGTAGTAGTGATCCTCTTGTCTTGTTCGTCCTATGAAATTTTGCCTTACGTTCCCACAATGTAATTTGACACTCAAGACATACATGCAACTTTTTTCACAAGTTTTCAGCACCCACTGTTGGGGCCAAATGATCAACAGTGCTCAGCACCTAGTAGCTCTCTTTAGGAAAGGAACTGTTGGGTATTGAATATTTTCAAAAACCTGGATTACTATTTTAATGTTTTTATTTTATCTTCAGCTGTGTCAAATATGTGATTAGTGATGTATGTGTTGAAAGAATTAATAATAACTTAAGATTCAAGGTTAATAATAGTAATTTAAGGGTAAAGTGAAATTTTGTCTCTCCACATTGGTAAATGGATAGATGAACTGATAGGACATAAAATATATGTGTAAAATTCTATAACTGCCCCTTTCCATATCTTATAATACATAAATGTTTGAATGTTTTTGAATAATGTTGAAATACATGCTTTAGAAACTTTTAAGTTTACAAACTATGTATGAGTTGCAGCAGATGGGATTAATATGGCTGAAAATAGTCTTTACTGTACAGTTGTGCTTTGATAGGATAAAATTGCAAAATCTGTACACTCTCAGCTTTCAGATCTAAAGATTATCACCAATCAAGATCAAATATAAATCTTCTTTCTAGGTATAGACTTGCCCAATTAGGTATAGGGTAAGGAGTTTATGCGCTTTCACATGAAACATCTGGCATTGACAACTGTTTCACACTAGTGTACATGGACAATTGGTCTGCTTCCCTGTGGCAATTCCTAATTTTGTATGCATTATAAAAGTGTACGTTGGAGAAGATTAGTGTTGTTAATACAACAAATGCCTGTCTGAAATATTATTTGAAATTCGTGATGACTGGAGATTCTGCCTTCAGATGAAATTTTATGTAACTTTACTAGTAAATGTATGTGATTCTAGTCCCTTCACACTAATAGATGAACACGGAGAATGAGAATTCCTGTAGCACCTGAGAGACTAACACATTTCTGAGGTCAGAAGCTTTTGTGGGTAAAGCCCACTTGATCAGATGAGTTGGAGTGGAAATTACGGAATCTGGGGTATACATAATAGCAAAAGAAGTTATGTGTCAATTCTAGTGCCAGTGTTAATTAAGTTAATTAAATCAGGGTAGGTGTGTGTCTGCATTCACATCTGCATATGACACTCACACAGCATAGGAGAAAACATAAGAAGAGTGGTGAAGGTACTGACATTATAAATAAAGTAAAAGCAAACTAGCAGTAGCAGACATTGTATATGACATAAACTCTAACAAAATGGTCTAAAATAACTTGTAGCACCCTTCTGGACCTTCTTTCTGTGCTTTAACCTTTTTCTCTTTTTCATGATCCTGGCTTCATACTTCCCTCTATTTTCTGTTCAGCAAAGGCTCAGTTGTTTCCTGAAATTTACTACTTCCAGAAATTCTGTCCTAACCGCTCCTCATGAATAATCTGTCCATATTCTCAATTCATGATCTGCCAGTAGTATAAATTTCTCAGCATTCCTCACCTAAACCTAGACCCTCTTATCACCATATATCTACAGACATGTAGGGCTGGTATAGCAACCATAGGCACTACTCCCTTTACCATTCCCTCCCAACTGGACATAATAGAATCTGTGGGCAATGTATAGGACCTAAAACATCAGGCTCCCTAATCTGTCATGATCCAGAACAACATGGTCCCTTCCACCAACTGTCCCAGAACCCTCAAAGACACAACAGGAATTAGAGCGAGGAGCATAAGCACTCAACTGAAAGAAACACAGTGCCGCCCACTCACTTCTCATCTTCATCACCTGTTCAAAATATAACATCACTCACCCTCCCAACTATTGAGGATGATTTCAGATATTTTCAAGAGCACTTCAAAGGGGTTTTTATTAGCCATTTTGCTGGCCATTTTGTTAGCACAACCACCAGAGACCGAATATGACCTCATGGACATGCTCCGGGCATCCCCAGGGCCAAAGATAGTCCTGTCAATGGAGCCTACAAAAATAATCTGGGAGACACCTGTTACAGCCCCTCTTTTGTGTAAGAGGTCTGACAAAAAGTATCACATGCCAGCAAAAGGGCTGGAGTTCTTATTCACCCACCCCATGCCAAATAAGCACAAGAAATACATATATTCATAAATGGAAACATTTATACACTTGGTGCCAGGATAAACATATCTTTCCACAGTTAGCCCCAATACAGAGAATCCTTATATTCTGGGTCTTAAAAATGGGCTATGTATAAGATGCATCAATGCATCAGAGTACATTTGGCTGCCATCACCTCCTTCCACAACATTGCAGTAGGATCTCAGAATGGGATAAGTGTTTTCTTTGGATTTAAGGAAGCATTCTGTCATTGGATGAGAAAAGATAGTGACTCTAACCACCTTGTTCTAAACACCTTGTTAAAAAAATATAAATATAATATAATATAATAACAAAGTGACAAGGTGTTTAGAACAAGGTGGTTAGAGTCACTATCTTTTCTCATCCAATGACAGAACGCTTCCTTAAATCCAAAGAAAACACTTATCCCATTCTGATATCCTATTGCCATGTTCTGTGTGGTCTGTTGGGAAAATTATTTGAAACCATTGCAACTTGCTAGTCAGTGTACTTATCAATTAAAGTGGCTTTCCTTGTTGCCATTATGTCCACAAGATTAGTGGGAGAATTAGGTAGCTTGATAGTACACCCCCTTTTATATTACATTCTTTAAGGATAAAGTATTCCTATAAGTTTTCCCTAAGTTCATACCCAGGATTGCATCCACTTTTCATTTAAAACAGTCCATTTCCTTACCTATATTATTCCTGAAGCCACATGCTGACAGGAGGGAGACCTCACTTGACATCCTAGATGTTCGCAGAGTGCTACCTTTCTACAAAGAAAGAACAAAAACATTCAGAAAGTCATCTTGGGTATTCATTTCCATAATAGAGCATTTAAAGGACATCTCAAACAATCTCAAAACAGAGATTATTCAAATGGGTATCTGAATGTAGCCATTTATACTGCTAAACACCAATCTGCAGCTCTCAGGCTATGTCTACACTACAGAGTTTTTTTGGAAAAACAGCTGTTTTTCCTAAAAAACTTCACTTACGTCCACACTGCAGTCGTGGTTTTTTTTTAAATTGAAAGAACAGAGGGGTTTTTCAGACATTGGTAAACCTCTTTCTATGAAGAAGAAGCCATTTTCCGAAAGAACTCTTTCAGAAAAAGGCGTGTGTGGATGGGGAAGAGGAAGTTCTTTCAAAAGAAGAGGAAAGAGGAAAAAGCAGAGGTGCCCTGGTGGCCACTCCATCCATAGTAATCACAGCTTAAATGCAAGATAGCATCTATTCAGTATGGACACTGTCTTTCGAAAAAGCAGATCACTTTTTCAATGATCTTTGGCAGTGTGGA